AACACATGTCATATATGATACCACACATGTCACACATAATGCAACACTTGTCATATATGATACCACACATGTCACATATAATGCAACACAGGTCATATATGTTACCACACATGCCACACCTAATGCAACACATGTCATACATGTCCCCACACATGTCACACATAATGCAACACATGTCATGCATGATACCACACACGTCACATGGGTCCCCTGCATTTTGTTATCTTTTATATGTTAGGACTTCTTTTACCCACCTGGGTCATTGCTACACTGCGCCTACTATGGGCCTGCCTGTACTTCTATGGCGCTGTACTTCTATGGCCCTGTACTTCCATTGGCCAGGGAGAGAGAGGAGAGAGAGAGAGAGAGTGGAGAGAGAGAGGGAGAGGAGAGAGAGGAGAGAGAGGAGAGAGAGAGAGAGAGGAGAGACAGAGAGAGAGGAGATAGAGAGAGAGAGGGAGGAGAGACACAGAGAGACAGGCATTTCCATTCGAGAACCAGCAACATGCATTGCCTCAGTACCAAAGGAATGCACAGCAATCTCTCAATATGCAAAACCTACAAACCTTGCAACTGTGACACACAAAGATGCAAATAGAAGACCTCCTCACAACAGTGGCCTGAGCGAGCGCACCTGTCAAGAGCATGGTTGAATAGTGTTCACATGCCATATTCTCACATCATGCCACATCATCAATTGCCACACTCTTGTCACTACTGGCACTTGTCAGTTCTGTGCACATTTTAAACCCTTTTCCACACAGGATTGGTGACAGCCATTTCTCATATGGCATGTGATACAGCTCTTTGTCATGGCTCTGATTTAAGCCAGCCATATATGGCATGTGATGCAGCACTTAGTCACGGTTCTCTTTGAATGACACATGGCCCTTCATCATCTTCTGCATCATCATCATCTGCCTGAACTGCACATGATTCTCATGGTTTGCACCAGCTGGTTTAAAAGGAATATAACTGCAGGTTGCCCCAACAAACAAATATTTACGAAAATCAAAAGTTTTGATTGATGTGATCAACACTTCAAGGGTCCACAAGGTCCAATTGTGGTCCATCAGGATCAGGATTGTGCACTTGCACCAATATAGGGCGTGGCCTGCCTCCTTCATAATGTGGATTGTGCGGAACCACATCATGTGACATGTGTCCACTGCCAGCTTCACAACGGTGACGGAGGAAACCTGAGACAGCCATCATGAGGGCATTTGCATACAGCACATTGAATCAAACCTGAGACAACCATCGTGAACGCATTCAAAAGTATATGTCACCAAGAAGCTGTAGTCACTTGGCCGTGGATGACGCCGCAATGTTCCCTTTGCCCACCCAGTGAGAAAGCTGTGGGCCTTGAAGGAAATGGCATCCTTTGCATAGGCCGCATCAGCCTGCCGCACCACCAGCAGCCGATCCTCACGTGACATTTGGCGCCTGCCCCGCTCACCAGATGGCTGCTCTGCAAAGGTGGCACGTAACATGTTGGCTTCACTGGCACCTCACACAACATTTGATTATATAAAACCCAATCACATGCAAAAAATATGCCTGAAGCTGCTGCAAACAAAAACAATACATTAATATTGAATGCAAGTTGCTAAACAGCCTGACCACTTGGTATGGAAGTGCATCAGACATATAGTGATACAGCAGCATCATGATGTCATTTGGCGAAGGGTTGGCACAGTGGTACTTGGCATGCTCCACCTCCTCCTTCTTGACATGCTTCCGCTTGAGGACCCGAAAGCCATGCGGCGCCATTGGACCAGTGTGATTGGCAAACTTCAATGGAATGTCATTGATCCATGCGTTCCAGTCAGCACTGTTGTCATGTTTGTAACATGTCTTTGAGAACGTCCCCTCCTCAAATGTGGCACGTGACAAGAACTGCTGGTACGTGTCCACCAAGCCATTTGGATCATCAAATGGCATGTGACTACACCGTGTCACAGCCTGACCGCCAATGGCATC